TTATCCAAACTAATCAAAAGGCAGAGAGAGAGAGAGAGAGAGAGAGAGAGAGAGAGAGAGAGAGAGAGAGAGAGAGAGAGAGAGAGAGAGAATGAACACACACTAATGCTAAAAAAAAAATAAGTGAAAAGGAAAAGGGACAATAAGTTTCCCTTCTGGGTTTCAAGAAGAAGAGTAATTGAAATAGGTATTAAACATAACTGATTAAATGTGATACCATTTCAAATATACAAAGTAAAGGATTTTTTGTGTCTCAAGTTATAATCTGTGTATTAACAGAAGACCCCAGTAGGTTCCATTTCCATGTAGATGTGACATTTCTAGAAAAATCCAAATTACAAAAAATCAGTTGTTGTAGAATTATCTATATGAATCATGTATAGCATATTTTATAAGTGATTTGTACATTTTAACAGTAATGAAAAACTTTAACTAAGTTAATTCAATCTCATGAGTTCTTATTACTATGAATGTTAAAATATTTTGTAGCAGAAGGTAGAAACAAATAGAAAGTAATCCTAAGGGGGTGTTGTTTTCCATGTTCACTTGAATGATTTGCAATCTGTAATGATGGCTTTGAGGTTCTTCTGTATGTTATATTCATACATTTCTTAGTTTTTCATCTTACTGTATGCACAAGATTTACAATAAGCTTTTTCTTGTTTTCATTTCAGATGCTGGATGAAAATAACCATCTTATTCAGTGTATAATGGACTATCAGAACAAGGGAAAAGCATCTGAGTGCTCCCAGTAAGACCCAACAGAAGCTCCTTGTATCTGCGTGTTGTTTTAATTTTCTTTTGAACAACAGTTTTAAATTTTATTTGTAATATTGTCACCTCAGTCAGTTTGAGGAAATTTTCATCTCCCCAAAGAGAAGTGTGTCTATTGGCCATTACTGAGAATTTTTTTGAGACAGGGTTTCTCTGTGTAGCCCAGCTGCCCTGGAACTCACTCTGTAGACTAGGCTGGCCTTGAACTCAGAGATCCACCTGCCTCTACCTCCCGAGTGCTGGGATTAAAGAAGTGCACCACCATCTAATAGTCTTTCTTTCTTTCTTTCTTTCTTTCTTTCTTTCTGAGATAAGATCTCATTAGGTAGCCCTGGCTGGCCGGGAATTCCCTATGTAGACCAGGCTGTCCTCAAACACAGATATCCCCCTGCCTCTACCTCCCGAGTGCTGGGATTAAAGAAGTGCACCACCATCTAATAGTATAGACTGGAACTATTGGGAACCTTTTATGTAAATGGATTCCAACAATGTGTGGTCTGTCTTGACTGACTTCTCTCCTCCTGTACTTTTTGAAATAGGGTCTCATGTAGTCTAGCTGTCACCAAACTCCTGTCTCTGCCTGTCTAGTGCACTTTATGGGGGTGTGCCAAGCACCCGGCTCTGATTGACTTTTTACACTGCATGATGTTTTCAAGGTTGATCGATGCACTTGCATTCCATATAATGCCAGATGATCTTCCATTGTGCTCTGTCATTTGCGTTGTTTCCAGTTCTTCATTCATGAAACTGCATCTGAATATATAGCTTTGTGTTTAAATGATTGTTTTACAAAAGAAAAGCCTTTTGTGGTGGGAGGTAGGTGTCTTTTTCTTTTCTTACCCTATATTTTATAATAATGACTTTAAACTTGTACAGAGCCTCATCTATAGAATAGTAAAATCTTAGCTTGGCGGTCGTGGCATAGACCTTTAATCCGAGCACTCAGGAGGCAGAGGTAGGTGGATCTTTGAGTTTGAGGCCAGCCTAGTCAACAGCAAGTTCCAGGACAGCCAGGACTATACAGAAAAACCCTGTTTCAAAACACAAAGAAAAGAAAAGCAAAATCTTAATGTATGTACTGTATTTAGTTAATTCTGTAGACATTAATTGCGAGGGCAAAACTATGTCCTAGAGAACTGATTGTCACTTACAAGGACCAAACTTTCATTTTAAAGTGATCTCTCTGAGGTAAGTGATAGACCCTAATAGACTCAGATGTGAAAGTGGGCATGGCCAGGGAATCCCAGCGTCTTCAAGGCTAAGGCAGGCAAATTCTAGATTCCTGAATCACATCTCAGGACCCTGTCTTAAAACAACAGAATCCCAAAAGGTATCAAATGAATATCGGATGTGGTAGAATTGTCTATTTTGTCAAGTGTTCAGAGTGGTAGTGTCCAGCAGATACATGGAAATATAAACCACATTTTCTAGTGGATGCCATAAACAAAAAAGAAGTGACATGAGTGTGCTTTATTTACAGTGTTTACAAAACACTGCTCATTGTTTATAAAACACTGATACCTTGATATATACCTTACAGCAAAGCATCGAGAGAGCTGTTTCCATCCTGAGCTGTGTGTCATTTACTGTGTTCAGTGACTGCTGCACTGCAGAACACAGTTTTGAGAATACTTCACTCAGCCATATTTTGGGGCCAATCCTTTCCTTGAGGTCTCATTGGCTTGCTCTTGGGATTTGCTTTTTCGTCTTTGTTGGGCTCGTGTCCTCCACTGACACACTCTACCCCTGAATTATAGGTCTCTCTTTCCCTCCATTTAAATTATTTTAAAAATAAAAACCTTGTGTTAGCCAGGTGGTGGTGGCGCACACCTTGAATCCCAGCACTCGGGAGGCAGAGGCAGGCGGATCTCTGAGTTTGAGGGCAGCCTGGTCTTCAAAGAGAGTTTCAGAACAGGCTCCAAACCTACAGAGAAACCCTGTCTTGAAAAACAAAACAAAACAAAAAAACCCTTGTGTTCAGTATTAGAAAAATTTGGTAGTTATCTCTTAATTCCATGATCTTACATCCTTTTCTTTGTATTTATGTTAGTGTACATATAAATTCTGATAGTCTAGTGTTTATTTATTTATTTATTTATTTTTGTTTTTCAAGACAGGGTTTCTTTGTGGCTTTGGAGGCGGTTCTTGAACGAGCTCTTGTAGACCAGGCTGGTATGGAACTCACAGAGATCTGCCTGCCTCTGCCTCCCGAGTGCTGGGACTAAAGGCGTGCGCTACCACTGCCCGGCTTAGTCTAGTGTTTATAAAGGTGATGGTTTTCCCTTTTTTCTTTCTTGTTGAGCAAGGATCAAGTTTAGGATCTTGTTTCTGTTTGGCAAGTGCTGTCCCCGCTGAGTGGCTGACTGTATCTAGTCCTAGGCTGCAGCTTTTAAATGGATCATTAAGTCACAGACTGTGCTTCATTGACAAACTAACCTGCTAAAAATGTCCTTGCTTATTTCACCCTGTCCTGGTGTCCACCCACCACTGCCATCAGTAGATATTGAGCATCTTTTACAAAATTCTGTATATCTGATTGGTAAAAACTACCAGTTTCAAAGCATTTCCTACTTAATGAAAAAGGCTCAATGATAGTAATAGAAATTACTGCATGTCCTTTACTGGGATTCTTCAGATGGTAACAAATTAGTGCAAAGTGCTCTTTGTTACATAGACATTTGAGAGTGAGTGCAGATACAATTCGCTTACTTTTAGGAAGCCAGTTTTCCCTAAAGTTGGGCGTGCCTTCTTACATTGCTTGAGTATAAATTATTGAAGTGACTGATGCAGTACTGTCACCTCCAGCATTTTCAGGTTTTGCCAGTTGTCCCATTAGTGTGTTCTTTTCAGATCCCGAAGTGGGTCATATTTTGCATTTACTGGGTATGTCTTGTGGTATACTTTATATCTTCAGGTGCTCCTCAGACTCAGTGTTCATGGTGTTTCTGTTGTTGCAGAATGCAGTTATTGTGTGGGATGCTCCTCACTTAGGACCCTTGCATGTTTCTGCATACAGAAGTTGACACGATGCCCTATGGCATTGGTGTCACAATTGTAAAGTGATGTTCTCCTGACTATCCTAGTTGAGCAGCAGCAGCTTGATCAGTGCTGGTGGTAGCTTTGACCTGCTGCCTTAAGCTGGTGCCTGCTGTTTTCTCCCCGAGTTAATCTTTCCTCTTTGTCATGCATAACACTAGGCAGACACCTTGAAGCATACATGTACCTGTTCTCATTTTACTTGAATGAGACATGTCCCTGTTCTCATTTTACTTCATCATCCCAGCTTCAGTATCCACTAATGTTTTAGCCTCCAGTGGTTGTTACTATTGTGGTTGTCAAATAATGGCCAGATCCTTCACTCCTAAACTTATTTGGAATTCTGCTGTGAGGAAGTCATCTTCCACCCTTTTCTTCTATTCATTATTTCAGGTCTTTATATTTAAATGGATTTATACATTCCTACTGTATTCTTAACCTCATGTGCTACTCTGATACTTTTCTTTCTTGGGTTATCCTAGATTTGACTACCGGGAGTTTTTCTGTCTAGCTTTGACATCTTTTCCTTCCTTCCTTCCTTCCTTCCTTCCTTCCTTCCTTCCTTCCTTCTCTCCCTCCTTCCCTCCCTCTCCTCTCTTCCTTCTTCCTTTCTTCCCTCTTTCCAACAGGGTTTCTCTCTGTAGCTCTGACTGTCCTGGAACTCACTCTGTAGACCAGGATGGCTTGGAACTCACCAAGATCTGTTATCTCTGTCTCCTGACTGCTGGGATTAAAGGCATGAACCACCCACCACCCAGCCTCTTACTCTAATTTTTGAGCATTCTATTTTCATGTACTTTGAAATATTTTAGTTTTACCTCGTATTTCTTCTTTTACAAGTCTGGAATCATCCATTTCTCTAAGACCAGATTGGCAGTTGTTTTATTTGTTCACATATATAGGCTGAAATGTAGAAACCAAACTTTTGTTATCAGATTGTCTTCTTTCCTAATGACTTTCACATTTTGCATTTTGTATGACCATTTCCATTTATGTATTTTGTTTCTTCAATAGATTTTGTCTGTTTATATTTGAAATTTTATTTTTAAAAAGTAGTGGATCTATTTCTATGGTTTTGCTGTGAATAATCTTCAGTTATGAGATCACCCCCTGAAGCTAGGCATGGAGGCACTACTGGAGTGAGTTTTTCACCTAAGGCTTTTAAGAACATTGTGGAGCTGAAGGATTTTATGGTGTAGGACAGGTTTCGTTTTCATGTATGGCCAGTGTTATGGGTAGCAAGGTGTTCTCAGCTGAAACCAGCTTTTCCAGCCCGAGTCAATAGTTGATACTGTTTTGTTTATATTCGAAGCTTTGTCATGTGTATTTTCATCATGCACGTCTTCCTCTGCACATGGAGATAGACATTGTAGAACTATCTCACCTCTGTTTGATTTAAGATAGAAAGTCACATTTTACACTTTCTTACAACTCCCACCTTTAATCAGAGGGGCTTTGCTATGTCATGTAGGGCTGCCCTGAATTCTATGGTTTGGAATTTTATGTTTTTCAAGTTCATGTATTTCACAATTTCATCCCTATAATAATGTAGGGTGATACTCTCTTGTTATGCTCTCTTACCCCTGTCTACCAAACACTTCTTCCTGGCAAGTCCCCTGCGAAAAGCGCGCATGTGTGTGTGTGTGTGTGTGTGTGTGTGTGTGTGTGTGTGTGTGTGTATAGTGTGTGTATAGTGTGTGTATAGTGTGTGTGGTGTGACATGTGGGGTGTGTGTACGCGTGTGCGTGTGCGCGTGCGCGTGCGTGTGCGTGTGCGTGTGTGTTCCTTCGGTTTCAAACTCAGAGGAGCTTAATCAACAGGTCTGAGCTGCCAGCCCTGCTTTGACCGGTTTACCTTCCTTTTGACTGTTCTTTTGGTATTCATTCTTTCTCAAGTTGTCAGTGCAGTTTGTGAATAAAGAAAAAAATCTCCTGCTCCCAACCCTGACAAATGTTCCTGTTTCCTTATGGTGGAAGTAAAAAGAAAATGTAGAGAAACAGTAGTAAATGTCAACTATCTGGGAATTGATAGTCTGACTTGGATTAAATGTTTCATTTGAATACAACTTCTTAGATTAAAAATAGCTTTCTTCCTTCGTGGGTTAGAGGCTCTTTTGAGGCCACTCTTTCTAGGGTGGTGCTGGGAGAACCTCAGCTGGAAGGTGCTGAGTCCTTGTCCTCAGTGGTGTGTAACATTGGGAAGCTGCCCTTGATCTAGTAAATAACCCACAGGCTGTCCTAAGTAATGCAGTGAATCCCTCAACCCCATTGTGAAAGAAAACATGAACTTGGAACACAGAAGGCCGAGGCAGGAGGATTGTCATGAGTTCAAGGCCACCCTAGACCATATAATGAGACCCTATTTAAAAAAAAAAAAGTAAACCAAGCAAACCCTTACTGTGTTCTAACCATTGACAATTTAAACCTTGTAAAAAACATGAGAGAAAATGCATTTAAAACAAGACAGTGAACCCATCCTTCCCAGACAGAATCTCAGTGGTGGTTGGTTCCTGTATGTGGCTGGCTGTGGCTGTGGTTATCAGAAGACACAAGCTATGTATTCTTTGTGTCTGTGGTCTGAAGCCTGGTGGGCATAGGCTCATGTTCCTTACAACATTTATCACATGTTTGAGACTTAGTGCTTCCTTATATGTGGTGTGCATGTTTTCTAAATTGGTCTAGATTATGCTTTAATCAGCAGTCTCTTTTTGGTATTTTAGGATGGATAAAACTATTTCAGTGTTTGGTAAATTTTAATGCCAAAAATATTTGTCATCATTGAATAGAATTTTAGTTTAAATTACTGTTTACTAAGGTAACTTTTATTCTATAAACTGTAGCATCATCCAATAAGTTATTTTAAATTAAATCTAAGCTTCTCAGATTATTTATTTATTTATTTTTGAGACAGGGTTTCTCTGTGTAGCCTCGGCTGTAGACCAGACTGACATCAAACTCACAGAGATCCACCTGCCTCTGCCTCCCAAGTGCTGGGATTAAAGGCATGAGCCACTACTGCCTGGTTCATATTAATTTTTAATTAATAAACTTGAGTGGCTATTTTGCCTTATGCAAGGTGATATGTTGTAGCTTTTAGTGGAGTCTTTGGAAGCTGAGCTCTCTTTTAATCGTGACCATAAACATTTGTAAGTATCTGTCAGAACTTGTTAGAACTGGACATTCATCAAACGGAAGATTTTGATGGATCTTGTAACTTTGGCTAGCTTTTACCAGTTACCATTGTAATATATAAGATGGTGACTATGGCTGGGCAGTGGTGGCACACACCTTTGATCCCAACACTCAGGAGGCTCACTCTGTGAGTTTGAGGCTAGCCTGGTCTACAGAACAGAATAAGTTCCAGGACAGACTCCAAAGCTGCAGAGAAACCCTGTTTCCAAAAACCCCAAAACAAAACTAAAAGATGTTGAATGTGTTTGGTAATCTCCCATTAGCTTATATATTCAGCTTTCTTGTGTTAACAAGATTCAGTTAACATTTAAAGATAGGGACACCAATAAAAGGCACTGTTGGCCAGTTTTGTCATCGTGTAAACATCATAGAGCGCATTGCACAGGCTAAGGTGGCATGGTGCTGCTTGGCAGGGTATTGTGGAATCACTGGGTGACCCACTCCACTGTTGACTGAGTGTAGACGAGTGCAGACTTAGAAGGCATGGTATTTATAGACTAGAAAAATGAAAGGTCTCAGGAAAACGTTCTTACTTTCATTCTGTAGTTTGAGCTGAGTTTAGATTCTGTGGGTTTTTTGTTGTTTTATTTTAATTCCATTGTAGATGACTTACTTACAAACTCAGAAGAGATGTAGAAAAAATATAAACAAGTATTTGTAAATCACTTTTTTATAGTTGTTTGGTCTTAGAGTAAGCTTTTTGATGAATATTACTTATTTTTATTACTGCAATTTTACTCCAGAGTTCTTATTACCCTGGTTGATTGGTATCTACCTATAGTCTCAACATGCTGGAGATTGAGGTGAGCAGGTTACTATCCAGACAGAACTCTGTCCCAAAGTAAGAAAAGATTGCTGAGTTAGAGCCTAGTCTGATCCCTGGTAGTCAGCCTGGGGCCAGCCTGGTCTATAAAATTGAGACCCTGTCTCAACAAAAACAAAACAACAAAAAGAACTTGCTTTTCCCCTTCTTATGTTAGGAAAAGGATTTGCAGTCAGAAGGGTGCATTGGAATGGGGTCTCTGGTACTGTGATTGATGTTAGTGTCCTTGGGGTACTACATAGGTCTGTCTTGTTTGGGGGTATTGATACTGAAGTATCATGTTTGCAACTAACTGTTAAATGGTTATGGCAAAAAGTATGCATGCATAGACACTAGACAATGATAGGACAAATGCTATAAAGTACTATTTGGAAATCTGGAAGAGAGCTGTAAAAGGTCCCGTGCTATCCCATCGTCCCCTCCCTCCCCCATTCCTGAGATTTCTGAAAATTTAAAATCATTTCAAATTAATTAAAAGTTAGATTTGATGTGGAGAGCAGGTGGATAAAATATCTTTAAAATTTAGCTGAGCTGTGTTGTGTGTATAGACACTTAAAGCTACAAGGGGCTTTAAAGGTCTACTCTAACTCCTGTTACACAATCAAATTAAGTGTGGGGCACTTAGTGTCCTTCCAAGGCTGGCTAGGGCTAATCGGCATGATAACAATGCTTTGTTATAGTCTTGTGTAGGCAAAGTCTTCAGGTTGGGCATTATTATTTGCTGTGGTATAGTTGGTGTCCCTAGAAAGTCACACTTGATGATCATACCAACATGCTAAAACTCAGGGAAGAAAAAGGAGGGTTTCAAGATGTCTTTGAAATCAGTGTGTGTCCTACTTAAAAGTGGCTGCTTGGGCCTGCTAGCTTGTTCAGTAGGTGAAAAAAGTGCTTGCCATCGCCAAGCCTGGCTTTATTTAGTCTGATTCCCCCTGGACCCACATGGTGGAAGGAGAGAAGCAACTTTGTTTGCAACTCAAGGCCCTCATACTTCTCCCACTACCATGAATAAAAATGAAAACAAATTTTTGAGGGCTGGGCATGGTGGCGTACTCCTTTAATCGCAGCACTCAGAAGGCAGAGGCCAGAATTTAAGCAGATCTCTAAGTTTGAGGCCAACCTGATCTATAGACTACAGAGTGGGTTCCAGGACAGCCAGGGCTACACAGAGGAACCCTGTCTCAAAAAAGAAAAGAAAAAAAGGTTCTTTGGTTATTTTTGTCTAGGGTAAGATAGTGTTATGTTCTATGTAAGACTTGTATAAAATTATGAAACAGTCCCAACTACTGTTTGCTGTCAGTGTTGTTTGAAGAATTTCAAAAACATAATTAATCATCATAATTACTTACTGGTCTTTGTTTATCCAAGGACCCTTGTAAAGTATGTCTCTTGTCAGAATAGGTATATGTGAGGAATGGAACTAAAACGCAGGGTTCTTAGCAAGGAAGCTTGTGATCTGGTAGAATCCAGCCTTTCCGCTGTTAGAAAAGTGACATCGGTGGTTTATAACAAGGTTAGGGAAATATTTCAGTTTGAATCTGAATTAGAATATCTCATTTATTGGAATAAAATTCTTTTGTCATATTCATTTTAAATTTATAGATAGTATCTATAATAAATGATTTTGGCTTTTGAGACCAGGTCTTGCTAAATTCCCAGATTAGCTTGTGTTTCCGTGCCAGCTTCTCAAGTGTTGGGTCACTGGCCTGTGGCACCATGCCTGGTCTCTGGAAAATGATATCTTAAAACAGTGGTACATTTTGCTGTAGGTTTTAAATTTGTATGTATAGGGCTTGCCCTATTCATGTACTGAGACCAGACAGTGATTAGATTACTGCCAGTTTTTGGTTTTAAATGAGTTAACTTTAAAAATTATCAAGTGACGTTAACTAATTATTAAGCAGTATCACCAAAAGCCATTTTCTAGTTATATTTAACCATATAGCCCAAGTATTGAAATTTTGCTTTATTATTTTAAAATGAATTGTTAATGCTTTTAGTGTGTTATCATTTTGTTCATGTCTGCTCTTGGGAGGCAGAGGCAGGTGGATCTCTGTGCGTTTGAGGCCTGTGTGGTCTCCATAGTGAGTTCAAGGCCAGCCAGGGCTACATAGTGAGACCCTGTCTCAAAACAAGCAACCACAGCAAAAGCAGAAGGAAGGTGG